ACCTCCACCCACCCCCCCCCCCCCCCCCCCCAAAAACCAGGAGGTTTCTGTCTCATGCTATGTGCTTATATAGCTAAGTAGGGGTAGGACTCCCAGTCTGGGCACACTGTCTTAAAGGCCTAGGCCCTGTTTCCATCCTCTCTTCCCAACGCAACCAGGGGCTTCAAAATACATAAGAAGTTATCAGCACAGAAAGGAGCAGGTCATCTGCAAGACTCTTGAGCCCTGCCAATTGACTGCCATAAGTGTGTGGCCAAGCAATGCCCGTAGCATGGATTGGGCATTGGGTGGGGGAGGGGGGGTACACTCTCCTTGGTCATAGGCTGGGAGAATGGGAGGGATATTTGTTTTTGAGTTTGGGGGCATGTTGATTTTGTTGTACCTTATTTTAATATTTTACTCTGCTTCTTTCGGGGAAAGGTTGGCATAAAAATCTCATAAACAAATAAATCAGCACCTCTGGCCCAACAGTCCCAGCTATTCCCTCTAACATGCCATTTTTTTATTCTCCTGCTGAGATCCTGACCTCCTGAGGGACTGCAGGAGGAACACCACAGGTGTGGACTCCCATCTAAAAGCCACTCCGTGCTTTGCAGTTACACACATAGGGCCTCCTTGGGAGACAAAGTAATACTGAAAGGCTGGGACTATGCCACACAGGCAGGGACCAAACTGCCATGGTACAACACAAACCCAACTAAATCTGCAGTCAGAAAAGGAAAACAGAGCTTGGATTAGGAAGGGAAAATGAAAAGAGGAAATAGTAACACAGTTACCGCAGCAAAAGTACTCTACAAGCACAAGAGGATGATGCGTATGCACACATACACACATGCATGCATGCACACATGCAGTACCTAGATGAGCAAGATCTGATGGCAATGCTATAGATGATAAAAGCTTCAGTGGGGAGAGAAGCCAACTGCTAAAGCACTCGATATTTAAACAATAATCATATCTCAATCTACACAGGATGCAACAGTAATCCCTGAAACATGACTTGTCAACATGCTGCCGAAAAGACCTTCCAGTGTTGCTCATAGCCAGAGGAAATGAAAAAGATAAAACTGACGTGGACAGGGAGAGAAAAGTATGACTGCCTCCAGTGCAATACTTGCTCGGTATCATTCCCCATGGGCCAGAGGAGGTTGTGTACCACTGGCATATATGCTTGAAACAGAAGGTAAAGCTAGGGTGAAAATTATGGTATTTCGACACTCGCCCCCATCACAAAAGCCCTGGCAGTTTATAGCAGCAACATGAACAAGGCTGCTGCCAGGGAAAACATAAGAAAGAAGAATTAAAGCACAAGGGAAGAATGGAGGAAGAATGATCTCTCAGAAACCCCCCCCCCCACCAGAAACACATCCCTCCTCTTACTGTAAATAACCTCACAGCAATAGCCTTCTATCTACACAATATTGGGATGCTGGTTATTGCTTGCTGCCTATGTACGTTAGCTGATTTCTATCTCTTGCCCTGTATTGTGATTCAGGGATTGAAAGCGCAAGAACCACAGCAGCCCTCTCTCCTGTGCAGTATATGCCCGGTAATATTTAAGAACAGAGATAACATATCCATTTTCCTCTCTCACAAAAATACGCAAAGTGTATTTTTCTAAACACTTGCCCTTACTATTAGCTATTAACAAGCTGCAGAAAAAAGGAGCAAGTTCCTTTTAAACCTTTCTTTCTTTTAACCAGCACACCCATGCAAATCAAACCAAGAGTGCAGGAAATAGTACCAGCCCAACCCACCTGAAGTCCAGGGGTGCCCTTCCATTGGCTGTGGGAATTGCTATTTTGCTGTCTTTTCTAAAGACACAAGTACAACTTCCACGTCTAATCAGGTCTGAGGAGACAGAGGCCTCTGGCATTAGAAACACATTTATGTAGCCACCAAGCCAGCCCCTTCTGTTTGTTTGACACTGAAGCCAGTTTTAAAGGCATGTGCAGACTATATCATCTCATCACTACAAAATCCCCAGACTCTGCCTCCTGTCTCTTGAGTCGCATGCCAGCTTTCCTCTCACCATTTCTTTTTTACTTCAGAGCAGTGGCTGAAGCTGCCTCACAGTAATTTGCAGAGTAGTTTCTGCAGAGAAACACTGAGATACTTCAAATAAATGAATACCTGAGGCATTACCAGCCTCAGATGAGTACTTTAGCTTTTAAATAATTCATGAGCTCCATGCCTTGAACTGAAGGACAAGGGAGAGATTGCAGCAGATATTCTTTATGGGCTCTCGTAAACAATGCAGTACCTGGCATCATATTTAATAATGGGAGGGAAATTCTAAAACTTGCACAAAACCATTAACAGGAAAAATAAATGTGTGTTGGGCCAGAGCCTCTGAGGTCAGGTGACACTAGGGAATGGTAAGTAAAGTGCAGAATCAGGAGCTTGGAAAACTCAGCTCTTTTCTGACCATTGCCATGGAAATTCTGGTGACCTTGAGTGAGTCCTGCTGAAGTTCAGTGCCTTTAGTTTCCCCATCTGCATAACACCACTCATGTCACCCACTGGGTTGTTTGCATGGAGACTTATCTCTGTGTTTTTAAAGCAGCCTCAAGTCGAAGGTACTTCTTGAAGCAGCTTAGGATGCTCAAGTCAAAGGTGCTAGTGATAGGGATTCAAAGTAGTGCAAGAGGAGCTAAATCAGAAGTCTGGGTTTCAGGAGGTCTGCTGTGGTGCTGACATGGCTCCCATTACCATCACATCTGAGCCCCTGGTGATCTTTTATGGGTTTGTCCTCATGGATCCACTCTGCAGAGGGTAGGCAAACCAATTCACCTCTCTGTGCTTAAGTGTCTTGATCAATAAACAAGGAGGGAAATTACTTTCCTGTAGCAGGGAGGGAAAAAGGTCCTAGGCTCAAGCCATTATTGATTGCAAAGCACCCCAAGATCCTTGGCTGTGAAGTGCTGGGAAAGCTGATGACATTAATTCAGGGGGTTGGGAGGGACCCTCTGAGGTCACCTAGTCCAACCCTGATAACCAGTCAAGAGTGGCACTGGACAATTTGATACTTCATGCATGGTCCCATGGTCCATTCACCCCTCCTGCTCAGAGTGCACAGGTGACTGCTAGGGAAATAAGAGGCCTCAGCATTTGGTTGACTCCCCTTATCCATTGCATCACACCTAGGCAGTGGAGTGGAACAACACAATTACCCCCTGTCTGCCCCACACTGGAGCTTGGGTGAGAATTGGTGAGCTAAGACAGAGGAAATGCTTGTTAGCTGGTGGAGAAACCACTAGGAGAAAAGGCAGAGCTCCCCAGCCCTTTGAAGGAGGGGCAGCTTTGACCCGTCTCTTACACAGCTTACTCCTAAAAGTCCCAGAATCCTTAGCAGCTAAGCATGGGTGTCTTCTATCTGTACTTGACAAGAGGTCATAACCTCATAAATTTATCACGATTCCCAGGGCTTTGTAAACCCTGGACTGGTGTACTTTATGCAGAGATAATCCTCAACTCCTCCCACAGACTTACAGCTAGAATGGAACATGTTATCCCATGTGCCTTGAGATGTTTCTTACAGGAACTGGCTCACACCCAGGCCCAGAGGTCTGTGCTGCCTGCCTATCTCCTTTGGGTTTTTCAGAAAATGCTGGTGTTGATCCATAGCCTACAGGATTTGAAACCTTCTTACCTATGAAACTTCCTCTCTCCCCATGCAGCAGCTAAGACCAGCTGGGAAATTTGTGCTAACAACTAGGTCATTTAAATGGTTGGACAGATGGAGGCACAGTGTTCTCTAGGGAGAAGATCAACTTCTTAGCTCATTCCTCACTCAGCCCAGCAACACCTGGACCCATCAACCTTCGGTGCTCACTGTAACACTGACCTATTCCTCTAAGCATCCAGGGAAAGGTTAGAAGAGGGAAGAGAGCCAAGAGGGGCAACTATTACTGGAGAATGGAGTAAGTGGCTGTTTATTTGTGGCTGTTTATATGTTTTGTACTGCATCGAAGGCAGGCTAATTTTACATGCAGATTGATAACACTGCCTGGTTCTCTGGCATGCCACTACAGGTTTATGAGACTTGGGGGGAGCTGGGCTGAATAGACTTTTCTGTGCAGCCAGACTTTTTTCAGCTACTCTTCTATTTGGACAGTGAGGCTGAGGCCTCCCTGCTGGTTGGTTACCAGGGAGCTACAAGATGGCCTTGATGTGCATGCTCTGCTTGGCATCATGACAGTCTAACCCTCTGAGGGTGGTAGACAAAACACATGATGACTAGGGTGCTGAAATAGCTTCTCTGTCTCTGAAAAGTATCTGGAAAGAGCCAAATCATCAGTGATAACAGTGATATCCCTGGGGAAGGCCATATGAAATGCGACCTTCCATCCTCAGCATGCAGCTTGTACATTTGCTTGGGTTTCTGGGTTTTCCACCCCTTGACTCTCACATTAGGTCAAGTTACCCTAGTTTGATTCTTGCTAGACAGTATATTCCTGGGCAAGATTCACTGCACTGGATCCTTGTTGGAAGAAAGGCTCTAACCTACCCAAGGAAGGCTACATACCAACATCATGCCTTTTAAGTCTGGGCTCAAAGGAAGGGTTAAAAAACAAAGAAAAAAACCCCAAACCCAATAATGACACCCATTTTGGTCAAAAACAGCTAACTAATTGTTGTGTGTCCATTCTATACAATAATTATTAAGTGCAAAAACCAGAACCCAGGGCAGTGACCACAGCACTGAACCACATCCCCTCCAGTTTGTTCTCCAACATTTTCTAGTACCACATTGCCTCTCAAGTGCTCAGCTTCACTAGGAGGGTACTTTTGGTAATGCTTAGCCCACAGCCTGATGGTTAGCATCAGATGTGCTGAGAAGTGGCAACAGCAGATTTAAATCTACTCTGGGTGAGGGGAGCCTAAAACCCAAGTCTCCTAATCTCTAGAAGCACCTACACATGCATATTAAATGTGAAGCAATAAACTCCAGCGCAAATCACGCTGGAGTATATTGCTCCCAGGCACTGTGCTTACATGTGCACCTGGGACTGCACCAAGTTGAGCCAGGCTGCTGCAGCCCCAACTGCCAGGGGATCCAGGGGCTCAGTCTGCCACCCTGGCACTGCTCTGGCTCAGCTCAAATGCTGCAGAGGGGCTGGTTGGGGCACAAGGGTACTCCAATGCACAGCTAGCTGGCAGGCAGACCCTGTACTGATGCACCCTCATGCCCCAGCCAGCCAGGTCAGCATCTACACATGCGCTGCTGCACACAAAAAATCTCCACAGCAGGCAGACCCTGTAAATACAAATACTAACTTTCTGCAGTTTATTAGTTTCCTACAGCCTAATAGGGACGCACCATGTAAACACCGAGACATTTACTGCAGAGGTAATTAGGCAATTCCGCAGTAAATGTCTCGTGTAGACATGCCACCTGGGTAAGTGCCCTGACCTTTGGATTAAAAGGTGGGAGGAGCCACCTCTACTTTATGGCACACATGGTGTTGTCCACCTTAATAGAGAATGCTCATAATGCAACATATGCAGCTAAGTCAGCTGCACATGTGCCACTTATCTGTCTAAAGATGACATGGGATCTGGGACTTTGTGTCAAGAGCCCAAAATTACAAAACAGAAATGTCTTGAAATGACTTTCATCCATCATCCATTTGGCCAACAGTGAAATGTTCTGAAGAGCTAGGTTGCCCCTAAGCCAGCAGGGGACTGTATGCTTAGGGGCAACCAACACGGGTTCATCAGTGGCAGGTCCTGTCACACCAACCTGGTGGCCTTTTACAATCAGATCACCAGATCATTAGATGCAAGGGTAGCAGTGGACATAGTCTTCCTGGACTTCCGGAAGGCTTTTGACACCGTCTCTCACCCCGTTCTCATTAAGAAACTGGGGGGCTGTGGTGTAGACACCCACACAGCCAAATGGGTCGCCAGCTGGCTGGAGGGCCGCACCCAGAGGGTGGTAGTGGATGGGTCCTTCTCAACATGGAAGGACGTGGGCAGTGGGGTTCCGCAGGGCTCAGTCCTCGGGCCCGCACTGTTCAACATCTTCATCAGTGATTTGGATGAGGGGGTAAAAAGCACCCTGTTCAAAGTTGCTGATGACACTAAG